TATCTGTCTGTCTCTCTAACGTCCCCCTTCCCCTGTGGCTCCTGGCTCTGGGGCCCAGCAGCACAAATCCACTCCCTGCTCTGGGTCACAGTCCTTCAGACCCCTGAAGACAGCTTCCCGCCACCCAGCTCCACCTCCTCCGCTCCGTACTACCCAGATGACCTTAAACAAGTCCCTTCAGCCTGGCCATGCCTCAGTTTTCTCCCCCGTAAAATGAGAGGACCAGACCCAAAGACTTCCCAGGTCGTTTTTAGCTCCAGGTTGATGGTCCCAGTGCTACTTACTATCTATATGACCTAGAGCAGGTCACACTCTCTCTGGGCCTCAGTGGCTTCACCTGTAAAATGGACTCAGTGGATGCCCAGGTCCCTTCCCCCTCTGGATCTGGAATCCTATGAACAAGGTTTACAAAACGCTTCTCCTGTGTTAGTCCTGGTAAATCAGATTAACCACCATTTGACAGATGGAGAAACTGAGGCCCGGCAAGGGAGCAGTGTTCTGCCCATTACCACAGAGACAGTGAATATGAGCGTTGACAGTCTGGGTGTCTAGAGCCCCTGCCCCAGTGCTTCTCTGTCTTTCCTGTTCCCCATCCTTGCCCCACCCCCCAGCCCATTAGGCCCAGGCTGCTCGTCCCAGCTTTTCTACTGCTTCTGACTAGGGCTGACGCTCCACTGGCAGGGGCTGGGGCCTATTTTTAGCTCCCCCACCTCACTCGGAGTGAGCAGTCACACCACGGCAGTAAGGGAAAGGGGAGCGTAGACGAAGTGGGGGTGAGAGCACGGCCTGGCTCCCCATTCCTTATATGGGAGGCTCCTGGCCCAGCCAAGGAGAGGCAGCTGGCTCCCAGCTGGGATGACGGAGGTTGCCCTCCCTTCTTCCGGGAGAACCAGCTGGGGGCAGTGGGAGGCCAGAGGAGGCATTGGCTGAGCCCGGAGGCAGGACCCCAGCCAAGGGCCAATGGTACTGGGGGAGCCAGGCCACTACCCACCCCTGGCCCCCATCCAAGCCAGTCACGGGGGCTGCTTTGGGTGAGAAGATGACCTGAGATCACATCAGGGCACACAGCGGCAACGCCAGGTGCAAATGACGGGCCCAGGCTCCGAGGCTTCTGACACTGAGAATCACGGCCTGGCCTCAGTGTGGGAAAGGGAGGTTACCTCAGAGAAACAAGACAGGCCCCTTTCAGGGGCCACAGGCCTCAGTAATGACCCACGTTCTGCCCCATCACCCTGTGCTGCTCCTTACTAGTGACGATGCCTTGGATATTTCATTTTCTCTTTGGGCCTCAATTTCCTTATCTGTAAAATCT